TGACAACATCACCAGTTCACGCAGCTCCTTGAGGCGTGGCGCGGGGAGAACCTTCGTCAGGATATCTGCACGCATCTTCACGGACTCACAATACTGCACCCGTAGCACGTTCTTTTGTACGAAGTCCTTCACAAACTTGTGACGCGTGTCAATGTGCTTGGCACGTCCGGACGAATCCTCTCCCTCCAGCTGAGCTATTGCAGCTTGGTTGTCGACATGAAGCACTGACGGCTCCATTAGCTTTAGTCCTACCTCTTTGAGACATTCCATGATGCCCAGCATCTTCGCAGTCGTCTGTGATGCTGCCACGAACTCTGACTCCATGGTCGACAGTGCAACGCACGCTTGCTTCTTGCACAGCCATGCTACTATCACTCCTGCAACCATTAGTACTCCTCCTGTTACAGACTTCCTGTCTTTCTTGTTGGACGCGTAGTCTGCATCGCTGAACGCTTCCACCAGCACCCCATCATTGTTCATTATATTCTTGTTGGTGTTCATTAGGAGCTTCAACTTCTTCGTCCCCTTTAAATACTTAGCAATTCTCTTCGCCAACCTCCAGTCGGCCTCGGTGGGGGTGTGTGCGTTTCTCGTCACACAGTGCACTGCAAAAGAGATGTCAGACCTCGTACATCTTGAGAGCCACAACAAACTGCCCACCAACGACTGGAAAGTCTGCACTGTTGGTCGCCTTTGACTTCCTGCACCCTTACTCGGCAGTATTACACTGGTCTCCTCGCCGTCGTATCCACCGTCGATCGGCGTACGTACTGCTGCCGCGTTATCCAACTCGAACTTCACCAATAGGTCCTGGATTACTTGCTCCTGGTCCAGTGCCCACCCTTTTTCATCGTCGTATTGAAATGCAATTCCCAGGAACTTGGACACCACACCCAAGTCCTTTAGCTCTACGATCTGCATCTCTGCGAAGAACTTGTCAACCCTGTCCTCGCTTGTTGCCGTCACTAAGATGTCATCCACGTAGATCCCTACAAGTGTCATACCGTCCGTTTCGGTCTTGATGTATAAACAACTGTCGGTATAGCATTGCTGGAGCCCCAGCGACACTAAGATACTGTGTAGCAAGTGATTCCACAATCGGCCAGACTGCTTTAGTCCGTAGAGACCCTTCTCCAAGATTAACACCAGCTCGTCCTTACTCGTCACGCCCAGTGCTTCGAGCTGCTCCTTTGTAAACTCCATGCCTTGTGGGATCAGCAGGATTATGATTAGCTCGGCCTCTTTCTTGGCCTTCACGTACGCACTCGGTACGTCTCCGTGGCGTGCCGGCACCTTCCAGATACGCGATACCACTAGTATCACTCTCCCAGATACTAACTCCAGTACGGCTGAGAACGTGAACGTGTAATCTACACCGTACTCCTGCTGGTCTCCGCGCGCTACCAGCCTAGCCTTGTACCGCTCAATGGTACCATCCGCATGAGTCTTGAGCTTGAAGACCCACTTCGTGCGCAAGCACTTCGTCCCTGGCGGCTTTTTTGCTACCGTCCAAGTGCCATTCTGTTCCAATGCGTCAAGCTCTTCTTTGATGGCCTGCCTCCATTTGTCTGCGCGCGGGTCCTTCATTGCTTGCTTATAGTTCTTCGGATCCTCGCGCTTCACCACGTTCACACGGTTTACTGGATCATGTTTTGCGCCCATGTTGCGCGTGTGCATGCGTGTGGTCTCTCTTTCTTCAGTTGGCACGTGTTCTTCATCTGCTCCTTCCTTTTCAGCTGCATCTGTGCTTCGCCTCTTATTGTTCTTCTTAGCCTGTTTCTTCTTCTTCTTTGTCTTCTTTGCTCTATCCAGCGACTTGTTTTCTTCTTCTGCGGTCTTTTCACTGTTGCGTGTTTCTTCTACAGCTGTCTCCTTCCGCTTCGTCGCCTTCTCTCGCTCTTTAACTGCCTTCTTCAATTCTGGATCTTCTATCTCGAGCTGTTCCTGCAGTTGCGCGTTCTGCTTGGCGTCCAAGGTCTCGACGTTCTTAATGTGCTGGGTTGTTATTACAATTTTGTCCTTCGGTAAGTAGACCTTGTAGCCCTTCGTTTCGTCGTTCTTGCCTATTATCATGCCAACTTGTGCTCTTGCCTTCCAGGCCTTCTTGCCGGCGTCTCTGTAAGCAGTACAGGGGCTGCCGAACGTGACGATGTCTGACAAGTTCGGTACTGAACCCGTCAACATCTCCAATGGCGATATGCGTTTGGCGTTCGCTCTACACGAGCTGCGGTTGAGTACGTACGCTGCGTACTCGACTGCATCTCCCCAGAAGTACAGTGATAGCCCACTAGCGAATAACATGCATCTGGCCATGTTCAGCACTGTCCTGTGCATTCGTTCGGCCTTCCCGTTGGATGCCTGGTTCTCTCTCTCGCTAATCTGTCGGCGCACTCCTGTCGCCTTGCAGAACGGATCCACGTTCGTATACTCCTTGCCTCCGTCAGTCCTGAGCACGTGGATTCTACAGTTAAATCGTTTCTCGAAGTACACTAAGAAGTGTTCGAACTTCTTAGTGGCTTCCACCTTGTTCTTGGCCAGGAACACCCTCACGTAGTTCGTTGAATAGTCGACAAAGTTAATTAAGTACCTATTACCGCGCCTGTCCTTGGGTGTCATGGGCCCCTTGATATCGCTCCCAATGGTCCGTACATCTAATGAAATGTACGAAGCCACAATAAGAGGAAGAGGTTCTGTGCTACT